CACAGCACAGCACACCACAGCACAGCACAGCACACCACAGCACAGCACACCACAGCACAGCACAGCACAGCACAGCACAGCACAGCACAGCACACTACTCCACACAGCACTATTATATGAATATAATGCAAAAGCTGTTATGTTGTTGTTTCTGCTGTGTTGTGCTCCAGCTGATTCGAGGGTTTCTCCTTGTTTTTTTTCCCTCTCCTTTTTTTTTTAAGGTTCCTGTTTACCTCTACTCTCCCTGGTTGCTCTAGCTCAAATAACTTATTTCCTTTTATTTGTTAGGTTTTGCTTCTCTGTGAAGTGTGATAGTGGCAACTTGAGACAGGACAGCTACGGGGAGAGGGGCTGGGAAGGGAAATCCTGCCGCGGGTCCACGAGGAGCCTGATGTTCGGGTGGAGTAGCTGACGCTCTGTGCTTACGTACTTGGCTGCTGGTGCCGCCCCCCTCCGCCCCCCTCCGCCCCCCTCCGCCCTTACTCGCTCTGCCGGCCACGGTGACAGGCCTTCGAGGCGCGCTTCCCAGCCTCCGCCGGCCAGGGCGGGGGAGGAGTGCACCCTGCGACCCCGCTTCTCCCCTGCGACAGTGGTGGTGAGGGGTCTGTGAGGGTGTGCACACCAGCTGCCAGGGGTCTTTGCTCTGCCGTGGGCTCTTCAGGCTGGATGCTGAGGCCCTGAAATGACCAGACACTTTGCTGACACAACACGGGATTCTGAGGCCCTCCCCTCCCCACCTTCCGGAGATGTTGCTTCCCATAAAACCGCGGGCACACCACTCACAGTTGGACCCAAAAGCACAGGCCTCTGTGTGGTCTGCCCCCAGGTACCACATCTACAACGTGAACGAGGAGAGCCCTGGCTTCCAGGAGCCGCGCGCTGTCTTCTACACGGCCCAGATCATCAGCGGCCTGGAGCACCTGCACCAGAGGGGCATCGTCTACCGAGACCTCAAGCCTGAGAATGTGCTCCTGGACGACGACGGTGAGGTGGCCTCCCCTCCTGGCCCCTCCTTGCCCACCTCCCTTTGTCCTGCTCGCTTCTGTGGCCTGGCGGGTCATGGGGCGTGGGCTGGTTTTGATAAATGCTCAGTGCAGCTTTAAACAGCACCAGGACACATCTTAAGTCTATTGTTTGTTCAATCATTTTGTGACAGAACGGTATTATGTCCAAATGGAGCTTTCTGATGGACTTTGGTGAAATTTGGTGCATATTAGGCACCTAGGGTTACAGGGAATTAATCCAAGATGTCTATAATGTGTGGAACCATTAGCAAACAGTTAATATTTTATGGCCAAATCTTCATTTGATCACTGCTTTCTTTCTGCCTTCTATGTAAAGCCAAACTGGGATTCTTATCAGAAAATAAACACAGCTTTAGTCTTCCTTTATTTCCCTTTCGATCCCCCCCTTTCTGTCACCAAGTCACACGCGCGCACAGGCATTCTCAGAGGCCGTTGCTGCGGAGCTGGGGGAGAGATGACAGATGAGGAAACTGAATTTGGGTGGATTATGCCCCGAATTCCAGTTGCGGGTGCTGCTGGGACCCTGTGGTCGCTCTGCAGACTCAGCCAGAGGCACCTGGGTGCTGAGGCCTCCGGGGGTCCTCAGGGTGCGTGTGTGTGCACGTGTGCACGAGCGTGTGCACGTGTGCATGAGTGTGTGCATGTGCATGTGTGCATGCACGCGTGTGTGCCTATGTGGAGACGTGAGTGAGTGTGTGTGTGAGTCAGTGTGTGTGTGCTCATGTGCGTGTGTGTGTGCGCAGAGGCTGGCTCTGGGCTCCCGGGGCTCCAGGAACACCAGGCGCCTTTGTTCCGTGGAGCTGCCTGTGACCTCAGCCTGTGTTTGCTTTTCAGGCAATATCCGAATTTCCGACCTTGGGCTGGCCGTGGAGCTGAAGGACGGGCAGACCAAGACCAAGGGCTATGCAGGGACCCCAGGTAAGGCCTGAGAGCGAGGACGGGGCAGGCTCTTGGGAGGCGGGGTCCTGGGGTCCCTGTGGCCTGGGGTGAGCACATGGCAAAGGCTGGGGGTTGTAGGGAAGCAGCTCTCTCACTGCTCAGAGTGAGTGGGGAGACCAGGGGACTGGCATGGGGCTTGCACAGCCGCTCCATGGGCTTGCACCCCCCCACACGTAAAATATCACAGTCGAGTTTAACACGCTGCACTCTCTGTGATGAAAGCTTCTGCCTTTAATGACTTTCTGGGCATCGGCAGAATGCAGTTGTCCGGAGCGCTCGACTGTGGGGGTCAGAGTCCTGGGCGTCTGTGCCAGACACCTGCTCAACTGTGATAAAACCCTCCTGGGCAGGCCAACTAGAAGGAAAGCCATGAGGGGTAGTGGGCCCCCATCTCAGCATACCAAGGCCTTCACTGCTCAGAGGAGTCCAGGGTGGAGTGTGGGGCAGGCGGCGGAGGGCTTGCAGGAGAAGGGGCTCCCCTCGTCCAGAGCATGTGTGTGCACGTGTGAGTCAGTGTGTGCTCATGTATGTGTATGACTGTGTGCACACATGTGTGCATGCCCGTGTGCATGTCTGTGTGTGCGTGTGCATGTCTATGTGTGCATGCCTGGGTCTGTGTGCATGTGTGTGTGAACGCGTGTGTCTGTGTGCATGTGGGTGCATATCTGTGTGAACACGTGTGTCTGTGTGTGCATGCGTGTGTCTGTGTGTGCACATGCCTGGTGCATTCTGCTGCCCCCCCACCTCACTCCTCTCCTCTCATGCCCCCAGGCAAGGTGGGGAGCAGCCGTGTAGACAGCAGAGAAGTGGGCAGGAAGGGCTCACATCTGGGCCCAGTACGGGAGGTTGGCTCACGCTCTCACGCTCATGCACAGGCCATGGTGAGAGTTCAGTGCAGCGATAGTCCCTGCTCACGCACACAGCACGAACCCCGTGCGTGTAGGTTCTTCCCTCCTCCACGTTCCTGAGGGGCAGGGTTTCCAGGTGTGTTTCTGTAGGATTTCTTAGCAAATCTCCCCTTTCCCTGGGTTGATCCGGCTCTGGGAAAAAAGTACTGCCACCGGGAATGGGGCCTATATGGACCTTGTTTTGTGTCCTGGAACCTTCAATCCTGTGTTTGGGCTCCTTTCGGTGTGTACCTGTTGGCGTGCTGGGTCTGTCCTCATCTGCAGCTTTATTTAGGGAAAAGGTCCTATCTTGAGTTTTCCGGATCCTCAGCCAAAATCTATCAAGTTCCACTCCCAGGCGAGAGCGAGAGAGTGGAAACACGGCTCATGTATTTCAGGGTGATTCAGATCCTTAGGAGAAAACCCCAGGGGACTCGACACCAAAGCCAGGATTTGAAGTAGCTTGACCTTGAGGATATCGCTGAGTGCGGGGGCCCCGCTGGCCGCCAGAGGGCCCTGTAGGCTTTGCTGTGGCTGCCGAGCTGCCTTACTGGAACACAGGGCCGCAGCTCTCCAGGCGGGCGGGTCTCTTCAGGGGCGCGTATGGACCTCGCCCTGCATTTGGGGTCAGGTGCAACAGCAGATCCTGAAGTCAGGGTGTGAGTTTGAAGGCCGGGCATCTAGCAACGCCCCACGGGAGCCTTCCAGATCCTTCTTCCCTGGCCCCTCTGCAGCCCCTGGCCCCAGGCCTCCTAGAGCCTCTGCACGGGGTCAGTGAACAATTGATTGTAAACAGGGGATGCGCAGAGGACGATCCCGTCCCTGTGGTCTGGGAGACCTTTCTCTTGGACCCTGTTTCAATCTAGAAGTGTGGTCCGTTGAACAGGTGTTTCTCAGAGTCTGGGCAGTCTGGACAATAGTGTAATTCCCTGAAAAGCAGAGCTTACAAAGCTGGGTTTAGGGCAGGGGGTTCTATGGAGTTTGACCCCTGTAACCTCTTTGGGGAGAAATGACTCTGCCGTCCCCTTGGCTTGGCCGGTGTTGCCAAGCGCGTCTCCCTCTTGGGGACTTACCATGAACACAGAACACTGAAGGCCCAGGAAGGGCCGAAATGAATGGACACAATTAGCTCTGCTTATCTTGGATGTCCAAAGTCATCTGAGCACAGAAGTTCCCCACCCACTCCCGTGCCCAGAGCACTTCCCCCCGGTCCCAGGGGAGTGGCCCTTGGGCCCGTCCACTCTTCCTACTCACTGGGCTGACTTCTACATGGGTGGCAGTTAGGGAGTGGGGGCCCGAGCTGGCTCTCAGGGGTGTTGACGTTCAAGATGTGGAGATCAGCATGTGGCCCCAACTCCCCAAATGTGACACAGACCTGGCACGGGGCAGATGGGCAGTGGTGGGCAACTGAACTGCTGTTTGGAATGTCTTGTCTTAAATCTGACCTTTTGTGCCCTTTCAGGAAGCAGCATGTAGGGCCTGCCTCTGACCACACACACCCACGACCCCCCGGTCACGCTCATGCCGGGGGGGACGAGCGAGGATGTGGCTCTGTGTGGTGGTGTACCGAAGGGGGGGCGGGACTTTACCCCATGTGTGGAGAGCAGTAGTTCTCAGCTGGGGGGACACTCAGCAATGTTTGGACACGTTTGGGTTGTCACAGCTGGAGGGCACTACTAGTGGTGGAGGCCAGGGATGCTGCTCCTTACCCTCCAGGGCAAAGCGCAGCCCCCTACAGAGAATTCCTGCCCCAGATGTCACAGTGTGAGCACCCGGCTGCAGTGCACGTGGGGCATCAGTTCCGCGGCTCCCAGGGCAGGGTAGGTGCTCACGCGATGCAGGTCAGCAGGTCGTGCAGGGGCACCTGCTCCTATGAACCTGCTCTGAGTCAACTGTGCTCTTCCGGCAGGTTTCATGGCCCCTGAACTCTTGCGGGGTGAAGAGTATGGCTTTTCTGTGGACTACTTTGCCCTGGGGGTCACGCTGTATGAGATGATTGCTGCCAGAGGACCCTTCCGAGCCCGAGGAGAGAAGGTAGGATGTGGTGCAGCCAGTGTTCCTGCAGCTGACCTGGAAACGACCCTCCTTGTTGGGGTCATAGGAGCAGGTGCCGCTGCAGCTGCCCTGGAGATGACCCTCCTTGTTGAGGGTCATAGGAGCAGCAGTCCCTGCAGCTGACCTGGTTGTGACCCTCCTTGTTGGGGTCATAGGAGCAGG